AGTTGCAACTGAGCCTCTGCACCCCCGGACCAGGTATCGGGACCTTCACTTGGCCTACAACAAACAGTGAACGCGGTGGTTCCGACTCTGGCCCATTAGATCAGAATAAGCCGAACAGCGTACTCGTAGATCTGCCTAACTCAATGTCTCCCTCGTGGTGAATCAATCCTCCTCATAATGCTCTCTTCATACAGTTCTACTCAATGCATCGCGTTGAACTTGAATGGTCGGTAGTGCATTCAAGTACATTGACGAGAATGCGCCCGATGCGACGCGTGGCCAATGGATGATTATGCCATGCAAGGATTCAGGATGCATCGGAATGCAATTCTACCCGGTGTCAAGGTACCATTGATTCAGTCTACCCGGTATTTACTGTGTAGACAATATCCCTTGGGAGCATCCCTCCAACGGCGATATTGGTGAGCGGAGGCTTAAACATCCTGTCTTCAGCCTTGCCGGCACCTCGTCGCATTAATCAATATAGCCTAACCCTAATGGACAGCGTTAATTGTAACTAATTTGTAACTAATATCAGGGATGAGAAAAGAAGCAATAGATCCTCGGAGCACGCCTTGCGTTGGGCCTTTAGAGATCTCTCGGTTGGTTTCTAGCGAAGGGATACTTAGTGTAGCGATCGGGACAGCGATGTGACTGTGGAACAAAGAGGGCCTGATCAACTTCTTATCGATGTGAACAAAATGTTTGTGCAGCCTCAATAATTCCAAATACTACGCTTCGCTTATGAAGAACTTCAAAAGACCTCAACATTAGAAATGCGTATTCCAAAGTCTCATGCAATTTACTACTTTTGCCTAGTAATAGACGAGATCATTCGCCTGTCATATGAAATAAGACTTTAACACTGAGTCACTCATGCATTGTCAACACCCACGGCAAATCTTCGTGTCACTATATCCACAACCGCTAGCCCGAATCGCTCGGGCGCAGAAGATTTCAAGATCAAGTCTTGCCAGATGTATATGTATGTACGAAGTACCTAACTCTGTGATTCACTAATAGTGCCGTTAGGGATCGGGCCTAACTCAGCGAATGAAATCTTCCGCAGGCTGTCTTGGCATGGAAAGACTTGAGTACAGCTCACTCCTTAAGCACGCACACCCCGCTTAGCCTTACATTCACGAAAATATGTCACTTACACTACTCCGTATAGTCAAGTTATATATCTCGGCAGGAGGAGAGTAGTGGTAAGTGGTTATGTAGGTTTTACTGAAAAAAAAAATAAGATCCGCAAACTAGTCTTCTAGAATGTTATTACAGCAAATAACACAGTATCTTCATGTATTGGTAACACTGTTAGACGTCATCAATCACATCGAAAAATCCGTTTTGAAGGAGATTGGTATGTTCTTTTCTTCTTTAACCCACTTATAGAATGTACAAGAACTACCTAACCCGCATCTCCAATTGGGATTCATTGCCTTGCTCCTGATTGGGCCGTCAAGAGCCCTTGCATATGCTAGGTAAGCCAAACAGGTATCGAAACGAAGAACTTAAAATAATAAGCAGGAAGTTGCAAAATGCAAACATCTGCGGCGCTCCCGTCTCATTTTAAGGTTCAGCCGATGGAGCTACCTACTACCTCTATTTCCAGAGTCTCTGCCGTCTTTCCGTCGGGTGCCCAATCACACTGCGGGGTATCACGAAAAGTAAGCTGCCTACACATCACTTGTACGCGAGGAGACGCAAGGGACAGAAAAGCCAAGCATACGTACCTTGCTTGTATAACCTCTGCGTATATTAAAGGAATGGGCAAGTCTAGTTGACTATGCGAGGAAACTATGCGTGTACTACGCTCGCAGGCTCTTGCGTGAATTATCACCACAAAAACAAAGCCCTCGCATGGCTCAGCCATTAGCAGGTAGAGGCTATTTCCGAGCGTGTTTGCGTGCTTCGATGCACGAGAGACCTTCCTGAAACGTAGTCGAGGTTTCTCAAGAAGCCTTCATTTCCGCGCCCCACGAGTTGAGACCGCAAGCAAAGTAAGTAATAGGCAAACACGCCTCCCCTGGGTTTCTCTGACCGGACCGATGGAGGTGGAAGAGAGAAGAAAGGCAATATGATGCGGTGGGTGTGGAGAACATACGACGTTCAGTTTTGTGGCGAAGTTGAGCCGAGGTTTGACGATGTTCCCAACAGACTGATCCCCGCTGCTGTGCCTTCTGGTGTTATATGCAATGATAACAATCAGGTGTGGCACCATATGATAGCGGCAACAGGTTTAAATCTATCTGTTGGCTGCTCAAGATTAGTGCTGTTGTAAATAGTATAAGGTGACTTCACGAAAGAGACAGTCGAATTGCAGCTATTTCCACTTCGAAATTTGCCCGATTATTTTTATGTTGTTGTGTACCAACGGCAGTTCACTGTCGCAATAAGGGGTGTCTGCCGGCCTTTGCGCATAAACATCACATACACTCGCGTGGTTACACTCTATTGACCAAAGCATACGGCGCCGTGTATAGCCACTTATCGATGTGATACGACCGGGCGGAGCCGAGGCCCTCTCTGGTACGTAAATAAGCAAGTCGGGATCCCTCGCCACTCCGTACGAGGTACGGCATCTCGCATTGCTATCGTCAGCTCACGAGCTGCAAATGCCGCCATCCACTCATCTGCAAGATCCCGCGCCAGCCGGGCGTATTGTCTTGGGGATGTGGCGGATTATTGATGCGCTCGAACATTTTAGGGTTCCAGTGACTTTCTAGTATGGTTAAGAATAGTTGCAAGTGAAATACTTTGAGTGTAATGTTATGACAGAGACGTCATGATCGAAAATAGCAATAGTCTCAATTATTAGGTGGATAGTTCAGCGGTGATTCTAAAAGCTTCTGATAACTCAATGCATGGTATTAATTTGATACAACCTTTCATTGTTCCCGGATTAAACATTCACGGAGGTAGAGTATTAGGGAGAGTGAAGTTCGTAGCTTCTAATTTTCACTTTTCGGTAGAAGTTAGATGACTAGATCCTTCAGGTATTTCTTGAAATATTGAGGAATTTCAGGTTTTGTGCATGACGATGAGCAGCCCAATTGTTCCTTTGACACTTAAGTTATGGTGAAGGCTATATTTTTACCCTAGGGACTGTCGTAAGCGAGTCTATCATCCTATTCATCTGCCTCTCCCTCTCCCTCTCCCACGCCCGCGACCGAGGCGCCCACCTCTCTTCGGCCTCGAGGGTACACCTTTGTTTTCATATAGCAATTCTTCACCAAACGCCATCTCTCCAAACCTCATATAGCTGATCAATCCACGGTCCACGACCGCTAGGATAGCGTTCCGCCACGCGTGCTTAAGGCGCTTGTATACGAGACCCGTAGCGGTCTTGCCCTTGTCTTGCTCCGGCGGATCCCACGGGGTAGACAGAAGCAAAGCGTCTAGCTGCTCGAGCGTCGGCATGCCAGCGTCGCGGGCATCTATGACGGCCATCTGGAAGTCGGGAGGCGGTGGTTTCGTCTTCGTGAAAGCTGACGTGGACTTCCACACATGAAAGTGGATCTTGAAGGGGTCTTGGGGCTGGGGTATCTCTGACGCTGATGCAGGGAGGGGATCGGGTTTATGCCGCTGTATGAGAGCCAATTGCTCGAAAATGGGTATGTATGAACGATATAGGCCCGGCCTCACAAGGGGTCCGTATCCCGGACTACTTGAAGTAAGGGCGAAGGGCTTGTATGTGTTTTGTATAAGTGAGGCGAACCATTGCCAAAGTGATGTCGGCGTTTGTGACGGAGCGGTATGAAGCTGCAACGGCGTTGCACGTAGGACCCTATATCCCGAGCGTCTCAGGTTGGCATACACCTGGTATTTCTCGAGGCTGATCTTCCCTCTTTCTCCATCTCGTCCAATAAAGAGCGCGTACGCAGCTTGTAAGCCCAGGGGAATGCCGAGTTCGTAATCCTCAAGCTTCTCTGGGGTTTGCGACGGTGACTCTGGATCACCCTCCGCCGGCAAAGTCTCCTCAATCCCTCGAGCTGGCCACCATAAATCCAGCGTCCCCCTTTCGATGAGAAAAAGGGCTTCCTCAGGCAACAGCCAAGTTCTCAACCACCCGGGGCTCAATTTCTCGGCCGTCGTAACAACACGGCCCGTCGAGCTCAGCAAGGTAGTCCCCTCTGATTCGAGCACCACGACCCGTTCGCTCGCAAATAAGCCATAGGTCGAGCCCCTAGCTTTCATCGTCCGGTCTGCTGACTGTGCATCGGCCGCCGCATTGCCTGCCAGTTCGCTCCCCGGCGTTGCGTCGACCCAGCGGTCGGGGAAGTACCATCCACGCAAGACGTTCCGAGGCTGATGTTGACGGGTGTAGCTGAGAACCTCATGCATGGCTGAGCGGCTAGACTCGAGCACGCTCTCCTGCGCGCGTGTGCCGTGTGACTCAAAGTCCTTCTCGCCTCGTCGGATCGCCTTGCTGGCAGCTTGCAATTTCTTCCCAGAGCCTGCGAGAAGCGATGTAAAGAGCCGAAAGTCCTGGGCCTGGTCGTCGTCCTCTGTATCGAGAGGACCCTCATCGCTGGCGGCATTGGGTGAGGTAAGGCTCAGGTCGTCATCGTCGTCGTCGAATGGCATCTTTGATGCCTGGCGAAATTGGTACGAGATAGTGCTATTACGACTACTTGGGCTCTTGGCGTGGATCGCCTACCCTAAGTTGTCCTAGTCTTTCTTAATTGACGAGTGGAAGGGTAAGGAAATGATTCCTAGCAAAATTCTAGTATTTGCAATGGTCAGAGACACGCAGAATTTAGAGGGGCACTTCTTGAGCTGTAGGTATTAGGTACACTATATTTATGGTTTATCAACACACGGGGAACCCACTATTTAGCGCTCCGGGAAGGTTCATAGAAATAATTGGTCATTTCAAAAAGGAACAACATACGGACGATTGATGCCTTGTGAATACTCATACTAGCTAGCAAACAAGAAGAGGAAAGGTGGATAAGAAATAGAGATAAAAAAATATGACATCAAAAGAAATCTTTTGAGAGCTGCAGGATTCGAACCTGCGCGGTTTCCCATCGCGGGATTTATGGTATGCCTTTCGGCAGGACCTAAACACGACGCCTTAACCACTCGGCCAAACTCCCATATGATGACTCAAAGAGTTTTATTCTCCTCTAAGTCGAACGCGTAACGGATGACGCTCGTAAAGTTGATCTAAACTGACAACATTTGGCACCAGGATCGAATGCTCAACTGGATACACCTACTGGTTGATTATATACCTAATCTTGGGGTACGGTAGAGACAATAAACTCACGGTAACATTTGTAGACCATTGTTAGGTGGGATTGGGGCATTGGGGCATTCAATGCGCATCACTATTCTCAAGCCTAGTATCAAGATGCATCTCAAATTGCCATTCAATTCATGTCGTATGCGTAGGTAGTCAAGCAGAGACAAACCTTGCACAGATGAAACAACTCATACCGCATCGCTTGCATCGCTAGATTTATAGCTAACAGACCAATTCATAGATGGATAATCCACGTACACTCCAGTGCCCTCCCAGACGAGAACCCCCGGCCAGGTCCAGGACGCCTCTATCTCCAAGAGTGTCATCAAACATCGCGCTGAAAGCCCCTCCACCCCGACTGGCACGAGCATCGCGAGGTGTGTTGCTCGAATGAAGCATTCAAGGGAAGCATATACTTCTCAAGTTATGTAGAGATGACTCTAATCCGTTGAGAAGCCTGAGACGCTGGCCATGACTATACACCTATAGTGTTGTGAGAGTCTGCTTCCGTTGCCTTGATCGTCAGGAGCACTTTCTGGGTAGCATATTGCATGGCCGCACATCGTGTGTTCTTCTAATCCCATGGAAATTCGTTCTTCTTTGTCGCTCGCATCATCTATTTCTCCCGATCGAGAGCTCGAACTCGATTATTGACCATGAGAAAATGGTCAAGCCGGCACACTCTCACACATCTAGGCTCTCCACTATAAGATAGGTTGGCATACCACGGGCTTATGCAACAAAAGGCTAGCCAATTTCTTATGCTTAACCGCCATCCAAGAGCGGAATGACCCAATGTGATCTTATTATAATCGGGATATGCAATGTGAAATCTCAATTGTCCACGGGGCTCCCGGTACCTGAAGCCAGGTAGGCGTCAGGATATTTGGCGGTGCGTGTTGGAATATTGGGCATTGTGACGATCATTCCAGCTCGGAAACAAAGATGACACTTTTCATGGCTGCCTCTTCCCAATGTTATTCATGAATTCGTTTGTCGCATTCTGTGCCGAATCATTCAATAAGGGGCTTCTTCTGTCCCCCTACGAGACAAAATCCTAATGTGGCCAGAGCGTTTTGAGCATTCTCATAGACGATGTTCCGAGCTGGTAGCATAGGGTTGGCCTGGTCCACGGATGAGGCGTCTTTCGCTGCTTGCTCAATAGCATCCATCTCTTCTTTACATGCTTGGTGATCTAGGGGACAAATGACGATAGGCTGCCGGAGAACGACATCTCGGGCCGCGTTCATGGTCGCCTTTATGATAGCATGTTAGTACATATTCTCATGATCCTAGAGAGGCCACGAGGTTACGATGCCGCTCACATACCTTGATGTTCAGAAAGAATTCTATCTTGTAGAGAGTTGACGTTGTTGTGAACGACGTGACCTCGTAGTTAGGAAACGCCGCTTGCCCTCTCCGAATGATCCCATTGGAATCGCGTAAATCTTTGTGTGGAAATATAACACCTATGTTTGTCACATACCCCTCTTCGGGTAACTTCGTGTTCACCGGATGAGAATGTTTCTGTATTCGATTTACTTTCTTGGTTGGTTCGTCGCCCTCGGGGTTGTAGGTAATCTCCTCCTCGATGGCTAGCGTAATGTTTTTGATTGTGACCTTCCTAGCCTTGGACATCATGTCCAAATTTGGGACGAGTTTGACATAGACACTTATTGGGTCCATAGGCCCGTAACTCCATTTCGGTAGTGATATGAGGAGCGTCACTATGCTGTCGGATGATGCGGCTACCTCAGTCTTTGGACGGTTGTACATCCCAAAGGTCGATAATGTGTCATATCGTTGCAGTGGCACAGGGAACGCATATTTATTCTGCGCACTCGGGCCCTGCTGTACCGTGACAACCAATTCGTATAGTGTTTCAGCAGTTCTACTGGGGAGCTGTAACGATGCCGGCGGTATCCTCCGGGTTGTCTCTTCGCCTCCCCGCCCGAAAGGTATAAACAAGACAAAAGGTAGATCCATGGCGACCACCTTGTCGGCTTCCCTACCGGATGCGCATCGATATAATAAGAGCTCCTTCCCTACCACGTCGGTTGTCTCTCGTCGGGGCGTGCCAAGGTGCCGTTTGGCTACATTTTCGGCGGCCGGGTGGATGGTCTCTCTTCGTTGCAGACATATTCGAACTAAGGAGATAGCGACAGGAGCAGTGATGCCTTGCTGTGGGCGAATTTCAACCTTGCCCTCGATACGCGGCTATAGGCACATGTCAGCTCACCAGTCCTCGTCGCGCCAATTCCAGATCGCATCGCAGATAGTGAATTGAATGAACAGAAGGCACTGAAGGCGGTGACTCCGCACATCAATACGACATCTATTCGAAGAGCAAAAAGACAGCCGGAGCAAGACCGCATGGAAACTGATAATAGACAAGTCGAAATAGTGGTAACAGCGACAATGCACTCACCAAGGTGGCGGAAATGCCAGGATACCCGACTAAGAAGCTACTGTTTGGAGGGCCCGATACACGGACTACGGCGGCGACCCGGTCTGTCATATTTGATGGCGCAGAACGGTCGTCATTAAGGTCGTGATGCGGGCGAATGAGGATGGGAACTGGCGGGGTCAGTGTTCGGCAGCGGCAGCGGCAGCGGCAACAGCAACATCAGCGGCGCAGTGTCGACCACATCTATCCTGCCCGCGGCTGTGCGCCGGTGGAGCGCCGAGGGGGATCGCGATGCCCGAAGTAGCTAGATGTACCGACGAAGACGAAGACGGACACGGGCCAATTTCCACAAGTTGCGCAGGACGAGACCTAGAGCTGTTGGGACGACGAAGAACGCAACAACAGAGGACGAGGCGGCGGCGGAACGTGTCGAAGGATTGCGAGGAGTAGTGTATTGTGAACAGCGCCGCAAGGCTCTCGAAGTTGGTTGTCGGCCAAGTCCACGCGGGTAGAGGCTGAGAGCTAAGGTGCGGGGAGAGAGGAGATGGGATGAGAAGCTGAACCGAGATCAGGCAGGCCACGCACAGGGTGGCGACGGCGGTTGTGGTGTGGTAATGATTTCGTAGGTAGCTGTGTCTTTGTCGATACAAGATTGGAGAGATGCCTGCGAGGAGCGAAGCCAATCCGGCGGGTTGCGGAACCTGGGGAGATAACTTGTGTGTGTTTACTTCGTATTTGTTTGTGAATTGAATGACGACGAACTGCGACTCGGACTCAGATGCGGATTAGGTATGCGTAGGTAGGTTAGGTAGTTTGGTCTGGGTAGTGTCTTAAGGCTGCAATAGTACCTGTCCACGACCGGCGTTAAGGGATCTAGGTTGTAATGTTCGAAACCAGAGCACGGCTAGCCAGAGGGTGGGAACGGGGGGAAATATCGGTGCACTAATTACCAGACACGGCACGACGTACAGTACCTACCTACCTCTGTGATGAATTAGTGGCCGATCGAAGCGACAGTCTGACCGAATGAAGTGCGCCTATCAGGTCCTTCTGGGAAGGTCACCACCTTTATCCTACAGCGAAGCCCCCTACGGTAGATACATATCCCCACAACATATAAATGTACATATTCAGATTAGGACAGGGATGAAAGTCAGACAACGTGACGATGATAGACCTATGACAGTTATAAGAACCTTATGAAGATGCAAAAACAAAGTAGCCGAATCAAATACAAACTACACATCTTACTTCATTCCATACTACATGAGAATCAGTGTGTATATGAAGATGCGTAGGTAATTGGCTCGGCCATCTGGAATACCAAGCGCAGAATCGAGCGTATGTAGATCGCGTAGAGGTACCTACCGGAACCTATGCGCATGCAGTACTTGCACTAGAAAATGCACACCAGAAACATCAGGCAGCTGCGGTTGAAGAAGAGCATGTGTTCTACATTGAAGTGGTAGGTAACTACCTACATAGGTGGGCAGTTTCATCAATAGGCTTTGTTCTGGCCGGGTTCAGGTTTTGATACATACATGTATACGGAGTAAGTCTGGGTTGAGACCTAATCTACCGCGTAGTACGGGAGTCTTAGTATCTACCCAGAATTGCTCCCACAAGCACAATTATTACAGTTTTTTTAGCCATTGAGACAGGCAAGACGGTTATCTGGCCCGATTTGAATTTCTTGATGTTGCCGTGCAAGAGCTGAGCACCAAGCCAAGTATCAGCTGAAGAGACGGGGTTCACCTGATTCTGACAACAAGGTTTCCGGCTCTATGGATAGCCAACGGATGCTTAGACATTCATCGGTATTACGTCAGGTTGAGGTGAACGGTGCTCGAGAGATGGCTGCCAGGCTCTCACCTCCTCAGGTTGAGGTGACTTATCCTCAATTGGATGTTAGGTGGCAGCCACTTGTACCTAACCATTGTCATAGCTTCTGGTAAGAATGCTTCCAGGACCCTTCGGCGCCCTAACCACGTGGGACTGGATGGGCACTTGTGGAACTCCTTCTCACCGATTCCTTCCCAGCCAGCGCCCAGCCAGATCGAGTCTAGCCCAGAATAGGACTTTGGGCTCAGGGACAGGGGTTCCAGGCTTACGGCTGCCGATTCCTGCATGGTAACAGGGTTGATCAGAGTGCCCGGAAACCTAAATAAGGCTGACTGGGCGAATCGCAGGCTTTGGCCCACCCCACAAGTAGGTACCGACTCCTAGACACCATAATTCATCGCTCAGGAGTCAAGCCATCAATATTAATACAGTAGCATCTGAGAACCCTCTGTCAAACGACCTACATTGAATAAATGTTACATTTTAGACAATCTTATCTCACTATTAAATACCGTAGAGCGTGGAGAAGAGCGGTGCGACTTAGCCTGTCAATTTTCTGGCATCTCTTATCTAATCACGCTTGAGGGCAGGGACCACTGGAA